CTTATAAAAGACACATTTCTAGCTCACTATACGGCATGATGTCTGGAATATAAGGGATACGAAGGCAGAGCACTGACGGGATGGGGAGGTGTGGTGTTATTGGTTGAAGATATTTTGATCAACGGGACTGGGGAGAAATTGTTCACATATTGAAGTGTTCACATTGTAAGCTAAACGATGTGAATGAATGTATATAAAAATAAATTAATTTAAAAAAATGGAATATAGGGTTAAAAATATAGGATAAAAAAATAAACATGTGGCGAGGGTGACTTGTTGATTCTGTCCAAGTATCTCTCTCTCGGGTTAGATGTATGACATCATTCAGAAGTAAGATCAAAATATTGAGGGCCTTGATGTGGCTGTGAGGACTGAGAATAAACAGGGGGTCTCCAGTGTCCCTCCACGTTGCCATGGTACAGCCATTACTTCTGCTTTCTCATATAAATTTACTACCGTATCATTATCAGCTCTATTTATAGATGAGGAGATAGGGCCAATAGGTAAAGGAAACCGTTTGCGCAAAACACTAAACAGCCATTTGGGAAAGGTACCACGATCCAGCCGCAGATCCCTCGTCCTCCAAAACCCACGTTGCCTCTCTGAGCACACTCACTAGCAGCAATCGAACGGCACATCACACAGTCAGTCTTGAAAGGTGTTCTCACAACAAAAAACAAGCTGTGTGCAGCCTTTAATAGGGCACCCAGCCTGTCGTCCGTCTGCGATAGACAGTGACTACTGTGATGACAACTCATGATCCATGCACTAAATAGTAGTATCCTTGTATCGCAAATGTACTATAAAGTGAGACAAATTAATTCAACTAGATTTATTCATCTAATTTTATAATTGTGAAAGGACAGGCCCCGCCCCATAGAACAGCGTGTACAGAGGGAGTCGGATCCCACGTGGCCCAGTGAGATTGGAATCTGGGACTGGCAGCCTGAAAAACACACCAAGCATAGGATCACTTGTTCAGGATCCTGACAGGCTAGAGAAATGGAGGACAAGGGATTGCAACATGACCAGACCTTGCTGGGATGCTTTCTCTCTTTCTCTCTACAAAATAAGCTATGCTACCGCTTTCTATCTCTCTGTCTCTGTCTTTCTGGCTAGCACATGTGCCCTATAGCAAAAACCTCTCCAAAAAAAAAAGAAAAGAAAGAAAAGAAAAAAAAGCAGCCTCAAAGAGTCAAAAGGGAAAAGATTTTGAATGATTTGGTGTAAATGTAAGGAACACAGCCTTCGAGACCACCAGAGTACACGCCTGGTGTACACATCCAGGACCCTCTGCATCACTGACAAGCGATTACAGGTTCCATACCCACGGGAAAGGAATATTTAATACATTTTACCACCATTTCCCTTAAAAAGGTTTCTAAATTTTAGTGCTTAAAGGCTTTGACAGACTAGCTAGAACAAAAAATGTAAAATTTCCAATGAACTGGAAAAGGCAGTAGTTAAAGAAATGTTACTGTTACCAGATAGAGGAGAAAAATGAAAGTTTTATTTTCCTAAGCCAGTGGTCAGGATGTTAGTGCTATAAAGCTTTTTCACATGCTGGTTTGGAAATTCTTTATATAATAATGAAGAAATGGCAAAATAGAGTTATTAAAACTGAAGCATACTTTGTTTCTCTTGAAAAATTAAATTAATGCACAGCCCCCCCCAAAAAAAATCAGATCTATTATCATATAAAAGTGTAGTTCACAATAAATTTTATGGGGCTTATAAAAGACACATTTCTAGCTCACTATACGGCATGATGTCTGGAATATAAGGGATACGAAGGCAGAGCACTGACGGGATGGGGAGGTGTGGTGTTATTGGTTGAAGATATTTTGATCAACGGGACTGGGGAGAAATTGTTCACATATTGAAGTGTTCACATTGTAAGCTAAACGATGTGAATGAATGTATATAAAAATAAATTAATTTAAAAAAATGGAATATAGGGTTAAAAATATAGGATAAAAAAATAAACATGTGGCGAGGGTGACTTGTTGATTCTGTCCAAGTATCTCTCTCTCGGGTTAGATGTATGACATCATTCAGAAGTAAGATCAAAATATTGAGGGCCTTGATGTGGCTGTGAGGACTGAGAATAAACAGGGGGTCTCCAGTGTCCCTCCACGTTGCCATGGTACAGCCATTACTTCTGCTTTCTCATATAAATTTACTACCGTATCATTATCAGCTCTATTTATAGATGAGGAGATAGGGCCAATAGGTTAAGGAAATCGTTTGCGCAAAACACTAAACAGCCATTTGGGAAAGGTACCACGATCCAGCCGCAGATCCCTCGTCCTCCAAAACCCACGTTGCCTCTCTGAGCACACTCACTAGCAGCAATCGAACGGCACATCACACAGTCAGTCTTGAAAGGTGTTCTCACAACAAAAAACAAGCTGTGTGCAGCCTTTAATAGGGCACCCAGCCTGTCGTCCGTCTGCGATAGACAGTGACTACTGTGATGACAACTCATGATCCATGCACTAAATAGTAGTATCCTTGTATCGCAAATGTACTATAAAGTGAGACAAATTAATTCAACTAGATTTATTCATCTAATTTTATAATTGTGAAAGGACAGGCCCCGCCCCATAGAACAGCGTGTACAGAGGGAGTCGGATCCCACGTGGCCCAGTGAGATTGGAATCTGGGACTGGCAGCCTGAAAAACACACCAAGCATAGGATCACTTGTTCAGGATCCTGACAGGCTAGAGAAATGGAGGACAAGGGATTGCAACATGACCAGACCTTGCTGGGATGCTTTCTCTCTTTCTCTCTACAAAATAAGCTATGCTACAAATCTCTCCACTAAATTTCCGGTGACAAAGGGAAAGTTCAAACTATGTAGTCAGGGAGGCTAAGCCCTCCCAAGGTTAACTAAAGGAACTCAATTAAGGTCTTTATTACAAAATTTTGTTCAAAACATATTTTTCAAATACCATTCATCCACCTAAGTCACTCATTCTGTAGGCATTTCCTGAGACTCCATTGGCATGAAAGCTTCGTGCATGTGTGTGTGTGTGTGTGTGTGTGTGTGTGTGTGTAGTGTGTTGAGGGGAAGTAGTAGGTATTAGGCATAGAGAGAATGAAACCTTATCTGAAACTTCAAAGAACTTAAGATCATCTTACTTCTAGGCCCAATACATTGCTAAGTCTTCTTTCTTATAAATGTCTCTTGGATTTTCCCCTTTATGTCCTCCATTTTTATCTACACACTGTTCATTTTCATCACTTTGCAGAAAATCGTCACATTTTCTTAAAATCAAGTTTAAGATGAAAATTAAAAACATAAACTTTATTTTCAACATAAGTTCCACTGAGTTCAAAACACTTTTACAGGCGATGGTACAGTCATTTAGCCCATTCGTGAGGAAACGAGGGTCCTGGAAAATTAACCATGTTAATATAATCTTTTTATCCATTAATAGCTAAAGAAAAATGGGTGCCCTTTAAAGAAGGTTTAAGATTAGGAACAAAAAAAAGTCAGAAGGCACCAAATCAGAACTATAAGGTGGATGCCTCACGGCTTCCCACTAAAATCCTCACAGCCCTGCCCCTGTTTGACGAGAGGAATAACCAGGAGCATTGCGGTAGGGAAGCACTCTCTGGTGAAGCTTTCTCAGACGTGTTTCTGCTAGAGCTTCAGCTAACTGTCTCAAAACACTCTCACAGTAAGAGACGCTATCATTCTTTGGCCCTCCAGCAAGTCAACAAGCAGAACACCTTGAACATCCCCAAAAACTGCTGTCATGACCTCTGGGCTCAACTGGTCTGCTTTTGCTTTGACTGAACAACTTCCATTACTCAGTATCCACTGCTTTGATGATTAAGTTTTCTTTTTCTTTCTAATTTTTTGACAAATTATCTAACTTTAGAAAGGGGGCCACAGCTTGGTTTATTGTAAAGAGGGGGAAATAAAGATTTACTGAATTAAAAGTTAAAGATATTTGATCCTTGGAGTTAAGATTGTATGAAGTTGCTCCTAATAAAATAAACATTAACATTTGTGGTTAAGGCCTAACTACTATCTTTATTTATTTTCCTAAGCTCACTGAAAACAGAACTTTGGAACTGTGCTGAGGATGCTGTGCTCCATAGGCCGGGACCACACAGGAGGCCTGTGTTCAAGTCCTGGTCCCACCTAGAAGCCATGCAGTGCATACACCTGTAATCCTAGTGGTGTGGGAGGCTGAGGCAGGACAATCACAAGCTCAGGTCTGGCTGGGCAGCATAGCCAGACCCTGTCTAGAAGAGTCAGGTGTGGTTATGCCTGCCCGTGGGCCCAGTTACTCAGGAGGCTGAGGCAGGAGGACTGTAACACGGTGAGATCCTGCCTTTATATAGATAGATGATAGATAAATAGATAATAGATAGATAGATAGACAGATGATAGATAGAGAATAGATAGATAATAGATAGATAGATAGATAGATAGATAGATAGATAGACAGATAGACAGACAGATAGATAGATAAAGACAGACAGACAGGCATACATTATTATATGTGAACTACTCTAGAGAAGGACCTGAAAATTAGAAAAAGATCAGGAAGAACATTTGATTATTTTGTAGTGCAGACAGAAATTACATAAGAGCTGTTAGTCATACTGTGATACAACCCCAAAAGTTCACGAGCTATTAGAAAGAAGTTTGTCACCCAATCAACTGGATCAGTCATGAAGAGCCGCAAACATATCACAAATAATAATGAATGGGAAAATATCTACGGCATTCATGTCAAGCAAAAGACTTCCAAAAGCATGGTGATACATTTCAGCTAATGCAGTCCTAAACTGTGTGACCACAAACAGACTTCAAAGTTTGGCAGAATTTGTAAAACCCTTCTTTAACATCATCTTTACGCAGCTATCAATACTTCATTCCAGAGAACATCAACGGGTATACGTGCAAACTATGACTTGAAAATGTTATTTGTTAAAGTGCTTAGAAACTAATTACACTCCACCAAATAAACACACGTACCATAAAGGGCCTTTGCACTTGTTTTTGAACTGTGTTCTCTGTCCATCTGTGAAAAGGTGGGTGATGATCCGTAGCCACTGTAATAAAAGATGGTCATTGTGCTGGGGTAAAGTCCAAAGTAAGTAAATAACAATTCAGAGGTAGAAAATAAAAATTCTAACACATCATAATCATTATGTGTTTTAAAAAATATACTGGGTTCATACTAACTGAGTCCGTTAAAATCAGCCAGGCACTGCTCTGGTGAGCAGTAAAGAGACAATATAAACCACATTGCCCCAGCAAGGGCTGAGAGTACAAATCACAGCCTCCTCGCTAATGCCAAGTCAGAAAGGCAGCCAGGAGGATTTGCCAAGATTGACTGAAATTATCTTAGAAGAATTTAAGTTTGCCATTTGAATCAAGTTCTAAGCAATAATGCAGTTATAACAAGTTCCCAATGGTCTATACAGCTTAAATCACAAATACTTAAGGTACTGTCAACCTAAATAACACTTTATCATTAAATATGGCCTGCTTTACCCTACATCTAGCCTCTTGATAACAATATGTGACATAAATAGTTTTACTTGAATCTTATTTCTTTACTCAGTATATATTTATTAATCTCTAAAACCTATAAGCATAAGGAAGAGGTAAGAGACAGGGTACTGCCAATAAAGATAAGTAAGCAAAACAGATACAATAGAATGGGATTTCTGAGTGAAATTAGTAAATATAGGGTCATTTTTTTCTATGCGAAAATGTGCCATGACTTTTCAGATGACCCAATATATCAGCTCATAGAAGGATTAATTTTTTAATATATATTTTTTTCATATGGTGTGTATACTTGCCAGAGAGAGACAGAGAGAGGGAAAGGGAAAAATCACCCCCAGGAGGATGGTCACGCCACAATCTCTTCTTCTGTTGGGATTTTTGGGAATGTGCCCATGTGCCTGGTGTGATTTTCAAGCCACAGGGTCTGAGGCTAGAACCAGAAAGTCAGCCATGGGGGATCCAGTGCCTTAACCACCACACCCCCTGCTGGCCCAAGAAGGATTAACATTTTTCTCAAGTTTTAGCCATAGGGCACATGCATTCGCTGGAGAGAGACAAGACAGTAAGAAAGTGAGAAATCACCCCCAGGGGGGAGATAGTCACTCCTCAATCCCTTCTCCTCTTGAGATTTTGGGCACATACTCACTCACATGTGCCTGGCATGAGTTTCAAGCTACCAGACTTGGGACTCAAACAGGGATTAGCCATGAGGAAGTCCAGTATCTTAACCACTACACCACCTGCTGGCCCCAAAGGATTAACTTCTTAAAGTTTATTTTCCCATGGTGATGCAGGGAGGCACCCCCACAGAGTCTTCACACCATCATCTGCCCCCAGTCTCTACCAGCCAGGATGATGGGCACACGTGCACACATGCACATTTCCCACACTTGCTGGGAGATCCCAGCCTGCAAGCTCAGGACCCTTCCATGTGGCCTCAGCACCACAGAGTGTTGAACTAATGCTGTGTCACTGCAGCTGGCCAAAGTAGGACTAGCTTTCTATCAGGATGTCCGGGAAGACTTGACCACGAAGTTGACAGTTAAGCAGAATCGAAAAGAATGGACAGAAACTCAGCAGGTGGAGAACCAATGAGGAAAAGATACTTGCAACTGATTCCAGAAGCAGAATAGAGTCTGAGGGGAAACACACGGACATGGTGTGTGCCAAACAGATGATGGCCGGAGAAACAGAGGCAGACGAGGACTTTCTACAAATGCTCACGGACTACATTTTTATTCTTTAAAATACTCTATAGTGAGTATTACCTGTGCTGAAAAATGATGCATGAAATGTGTTCCACACTAGCTAATATCAAACAACAAAATTAACCACAAATAGGACAACGACCACTTAAGTCAGGCTTATCATTTCCAATTAAACCCAGAACCACTGGAAGTGTTTTGTTATTTGATCTTTTGTTTTTGTTTTATACAATGATCAACATCTTGATAGTCTGGACTAAATGGCACTTGCCTCTCTTTGAATGCCAATATTTTACAAATGTTAGTACGAAAAATAAAATGCTCCTGAAAAACTCAATGCTCTGAATTAGAGTACATATTCAACTATGAGTAGGAATAATACATCAAAATATCAGAAAGAAACCTCTTCCAACTATGAGATTACTATTACTAGGGCTATTTCTTAACCATTTTGTTTTCACCAGATACAGTAAACCTGTAATGATAACATGTGTTAATAATACAAAGATATTATATATTACCGAGGGATGAACTACATAAAGAAATAAAACTAATCTTTTCATTTAAATATGAGACAATTAAAACCACCAAATCAAATCTCAAAAAAAAATTTTTTTTCAATAGAAGTCTTTCAACTTACTTCACTTGAGATGGGTACATCCCATAACCACCGGGGTGATTAGAAATATGACCGTTCATTGTGACTTTCCCTCCTATGTTCTAAAAAAAAAAAAAAAAGAAAAGAAAAGCACATAGATTAAGGGCAATAAATGGATAGAGACACTTCAGTTTCAAAAGTTATTCATTCAAGAAATAAGCATCATTGCTAGGAATGATTCTACTAAGATAGAGATCTTCACTCTCAACATGTTTAAGATTAAGCAATATAAGCAGGCATTTCCACAAAGATCCAACTGGCATGTAATATTAATATGACAAGATTATAAGCAAATTCAGATAGAAGAAAAGCCTAAAATACAGTTTTGAGTCCTTTAGGTATATAGGCATAATTCTCTATCCTACACAAGTTATAATTAACTGCAACTTTATGAGATGTTATTTTGTTTATTGTTCCATTATAAAAGTAACAGACTCGTTCAATTTGAAAAATCTTGAGAAATATAGAAAAGTACAGTAAGGAAAAACTATCACACAGAGCCCTATCATTGACAGATAACTATTGGGACCAGCAGATGGTGTAATGGATACGTTGCTGGACTCTCACATAGTCGGCCATGGTTCTAGTCCCAGACCTGGTAGCTTAAAACTCATGCCAGGCATGTGTGCCCAAGATCCTGAGAGAAGAATGGAGAAGGGATTGCAGCATGGCCATACGCCCCAGGGAGGATGATTTCTCACTTTCTATCTCTCTATCTTTGTCTGGCAGGCACACACACCTTATGACAAAAAGTAACTACCAAAATCCTAAATGTTTCACGATTGGCTCTAATAGCCTATAGTACTTAATAAGAGTAACTAGGTTGCTATAACATTGCTACATTCTAGAATCTAGAGGAGGACAGGAGCCTAAAATAATATTATCGACTATTATCGACTAGGGCTAATGGGGCTAAGGACACTAGCATTCTCAGAGGCCTGGATTCTAACACTATCTCTAGCACTAGTTGGCCCAGGCAAGTCAATGAAGCCTCTGTCTCAATTTTCTCATCCATAAGATAGAGAGAATTCTTGGTCTTCCAAACTCACAGGGTAAGTGTAAAGATCAAATGAGGCAGACGTGCAAGTTTCTTCCAAAGTTAAAAAAAAAAAAAAAAAGTGCTCTTTCCAGACAAGGTAGTTCATTCAGTATATAAATTAAACCCCGAGGGTTTGTGCTGATTTTGATCTAGTTTGCATTTTAAACCCACAGCAGTTGGTTTTAATGAAAAGTGATAGTCACAGCATCTCATCTTTTCATGTTTAATTCTTCATGACAGTCAAATAAATGCATGGTTTGTGTTTTGGTTCGAAATAGTGATCTGTCAGAGTACAAGAATGTTAGAAAGGGGAATAGAAAATGTCAATTTGCTAAAATGAATTTTAAATATAAATACAAAAACTTTACACATTTGGCAACTGGATTTTCCTCGTCACAGTGGCTCACTGGGTAATACAGAGGTCTTCAAAGACTTAAATACAGCAATGACAGTGCATACTTCGCAAAGGAGACCGTTACGAATGTGTGTTTTATTTCCTCTAGGCTTTCGGAAGATAATGTATACCTATGTAAGCCATAGACATAATTTTAAAGAATAATCAACTCTTACTGAATAATTTTAGGTGTATTTATTTATTTAAAAATTTGCCAGAGGGCAGCTGTGCTTGCCGGAGAGAGAGAATAGGAGACAGAGGAGAAGCAAGAAAGCTCCCCCCACGGGACATCGTCAGCACAAGCCCTTCTCTTCCATTATCCATCCTTTTGGGTTTGGGGGCCATGCCTCAGGGTCCCAAACTCAAACCACACAGTTGGCCAGATGGGATCCAGCCACTTTAACAGCCAGACCACAAGCTGGTCCAGTGTATTTATTCTCCTAAACTACTGAAACAACTTAAAAACGGAAGAGACTAAACCTTCTTTATCACTTTAAGGACTCATAAATGTGGTTAATTATACCAAATTTACTATTTAATTCTATTAAATGTGTACACTAAGACCATCATAATAGCTTACAACTATTCGATTGGAATGAGAGCATCAATTTTATTACGAAAACACTTTTTATAAGTCACAATTACTATAATTTTCTTCATATTTCCTACAGAAAATAACATTCTTTGGTAATTACAAGGATAAGAATGATAAATTTAAGATCTGAGTTCAGCACACAAAAAAACGTTAAACACTGCAATTTTTAAAGTAAATAGAATGTACAAAAAAATCACTGTAAGAAGCAAACATGAGGCTATAAAAAGACTAACCCAGAAAGTTAAATTTGCATTAGAAAATTTAGAGTTCCAAGTAGAAATATATGCAATGTTAGGTTTGCTTTGCTTTGCTCTTGATCGCATGTGTTATGAATTTTCAAAGTGCTGAAGAGTACATAACTATGACGTAGTATTAGAATACTGCCGACCCAATCTAGCTAACACCCAACTACCAGCTCTTTGCACACTAAAGTGTCTGTCCTTCAAATGACTTGTTCTCTCAGAAAATGTCAGGCACATTACACTTGAGGTTTAACAGAGTATCTTAAAGTATTTATACCCAAATTTCAATTTAATTTATATCTCCCATCTAATTTATAACTAAAGAGGTAGAGTATTTTCATGATTTAGGTTTTTAACTAAAGGACCATTGGAATTAATTTCTACCAAGCAATACTTTGTGACTGTCAACCAATGATTTGGGTTATAACATAATAATAATTTAAAAATCTGTTTTAACCTTCAAAATCTTCACACATTCTGTCACTTATAAAGTTTTTTTTTTTCTTTTCTTTTCTTTTTTTTTTAAGAAAGAGATTTTTGCTATAGGGCATGTGCATTTGCCAGAGAAACAGAGAGAGAGAGAGAAACAGAAAGTGAGAAATCACCCCTCTGGGGTGGAGGGTGGTCACTCCACAACCCTTTCTCCTCCATTCACCCCCTGGGATCTTGGGCATGCATGCACATGTGCTCAGCATGAGTATTAAGTCACAGGTCCAAGACTCAAACTGTGGTCAACTACGTGGGAGTTCAGTGACTCGGCCATTACACCATCTGCTGGTCCCTCCTCTAGAGCTTTCTAAAAAAGTTTAGTTCTTATATGAACAAAAGAGAGAGAGAAACAGCACCTCTGACAGGTTCTAGATGCTGTGAGCCACCCTCAGCCTCAGCACACACATGGGCGCCCAGGGTACTCAGGAAAGTCTGTGGTCATGAACCTGGAACATTCCCACATGGGTCAGCCTTGCAGAGAGTCAAGTTTTTATTGTTCCCTCACTATCCAGTCCCTGGAGCTATTTATTTCCACCTCTTACCAGTTTAGTCAGTAAAGATGTCACAATTTATTTTCTATGTTATTTGGTCTAACATAAAGTAACGAAGACTTTTTATTTTGTGAATAAACTTGGAAAACTCATAAAAACATGATTCTGTTGAATACTAATAGCAGTGGCTAACACTTGTAAGTTACCAAAATAATTTCTAGGCCATAGGAAAAAAGGACTTTTTGTTTGTTAGTTTGGAGAGGTTTTTGCTATAGGGCGTGTGTGCTCGCCAGAAAGACAGAGAGACAGAGAGACAGAAAGCGAGAAATCACCCCCCCACCCCCCAGGGAGGATGGCTATGCTGCAATCCCTTCTCCACTCTTCTCTGGGGATCAAAAGCACTCTCTGTACACTTCACTATCATGTCACCTGCCGGCCCCACCTTTTTTATTCTTATTTTATACATAAATCAATGGGGACAAAAACACTGAGTGCCATTCGAGTGGTGTTTTGAAATGATAAAAAATTCTATAGTGCCATCAATCACTGAGCAGGGGATGCCATATCTTTTCCTTACAACAACTCCAGCAAGTGGAGGAAAACACAAAGGAAAAAGAAAAAGCAAACAACATTCAGGAAGCCCCCATTTCGTGTGACATATTACAAACCTCACTTCATTGTATCCTTAGAACCATCCTATAAAATAGTTAGCAGCTCTACACTGTAGGTAAAATGAAGCCTCAAAGCAGTTAGGTCATTTAGGAGTAGGGTTCAAACTCACATCTGGCTGATCTGGATCCCACGTTCTTTCCAGTAAATTACATTGCGAGTTTGACAACTGTACACACTCTGAAAGTTTTCTTTTCTTTTTACTCGAGTGCTCCAATGATATTCTTTAGTCAACAACTTTTCTTAAAATAAGGAACTAAAAACGCTAGTTTCAGAAAGAGAAAAGAATTCACTTTTTGGAAGGGGATATCACAACAGCAATAGTTCCACTCTTTTGTGGAGTGACTTTATTGCTATGTAAACATACTATTTATTCACTGAAGAATGCTATAAAAAAAAAAAAAAAGGTCAGAAACATCGCATACTAAACACTTTAATAATAATACTCAAAATGCATCAGTTAAGGTTCATTGAGCTTTGATACCAATTTTTCACTGGTTAAATATCCTGGTATTTATTTGAATTACTTTTTGGGTTAAGTTTTTATCACAGTTGAGACATTTTCTAACCAAAAACCAGTGAGTCTTCTGAGTACTTTGTCTCCATGTAAATAGTACGTGATGCCCATACGTTTGCCTATTGTCTGTGTATCTTCCATTAAAAGTAAATCTGTATCAAAGGAGAAATTAGGAAATATGCCTCCAATTTAGCTGGACTCTCCCAACAAAAATAAAAATATGGTAGGAAAGGGGATGAGCTTTAGAGACACAAGAAATAGCCTCGACCTCTGTTACCAGTCCCCTAACCCCGCCCTGGTCAGTCAGGTGTAGACAGAGGTGGTGCTTACATTAGCTCTTGAACTACTTCCTAGCAAGACTTTCTTTCAGTCCCACAAGTAATGAGGAATTTCAACTGAAGTCTTCATGTATTTGTGTCTGGGTGAGTTTTCCTTTCACACGTGCCTCGCCTATAGAGGTTTAAATATAAACTTTTATTGAAATGTGCATCTCCCTGATCATCTTGCTTCTAGGAGTAACAGCAGACTTACAGATGGCCTCACAATATGACAGCTATAATAAACTGCCATCTCTTTAAATAACTATCTTAGATCCTTGATTGACTTAAAGGGGTATGATAAAGTTT